TGTGATTTTAGGGGATATTACTTGACGGGCAAGAAATAGCAATAAAGAGACTCTCAAAGAGTTCTAACCAAGGAATAAAAGAGTTCCAGAATGAAGCAAAGCTTATTGCAAAACTCCAGCATACTAATCTTGTTAGACTTTTAGGGTGTTCTCTGCAGGCAGAAGAAAGGATTTTAATCTATGAGTACATGCCAAACAAAAGCTTGGATTTCTTCATTTTCGGTAGGCCATTTCAACATGTGATGAATTTGCAACACGAGTTTCTCACTTATCAACTACTCAATTTTGATTTGCTGCTTTGTGGCAGATTCTCATAAAAAGAAACTGTTAAACTGGAAGATACGGTTCAACATAATTGAAGGAATTGCTCAAGGACTTATTTATCAACACACATACTCAAGATTAAGATTATTTCATAGAGACTTGAAAGCTAGCAATATTTTATTAGATGATCAAATGAATCCAAAAATATCTTATTTTGGTATGGCTAGAATCTTTGGGGTGAATGAATCTATAGCAAATACAAATAGAATTGTTGGGACATAGTAAGTATATGCTAAATTTTCTACCAATAGACATAGATTATGTACCTTTTTAAATAATTTTTTAACCGGAGTTTGATTTTTACAGTGGCTATATGTCACCGAAGTATGCCATGAATGGCATTGTGTCAATTAAAACTGATGTATATAGTTTTGGAGTTTTAGTACTTGCAATTGTGAGTGGCAAGAAGAACAGTGGCTGCTATCACACAGAACATCCACTCAATCTTGTGGGATATGTAAGTTCTCAATCAAATTGGGTACTTTTCACAAAGGTATGGAATCTAACCCTGAATATCTTGTGCTTCAGGCATGGCAGCTATGGAATGAAGGTAAAGGCTTGGAGCTGATGGATCCAACAATGGATGAATCTGGCTCTCCTGATGAAGTATTAGATGCCTACATGTAGGTCTCCTGTGCGTACAAGACCCGACAATTGAAAGAACCACAATGCCAGAAGTTGTTTCCATGCTCACAAATGAAGCAATTCTTCTACCTGCACGAAAACAACCAGCATTTTATATCAATGACACTACTGAAGAGTCAGAAAAACCTAGAAAAAAAAGGCAGAAGATTGTTCCGTAAACACTGTAACAATCTCAGTAATGGAAGCTAGATAAATATACGAGTAATCTGCTTGGTTATTGAGACCACTACAGCAGGAAAGAGGTAAAAAGAAAATTTCTTTAAATGATTTAATACTCCATTAACTTGTGAAATGGGCAATCTGAATGTATATAATCTATTGAGTGAACTATGTAAAACTCTGCTTTTACAGGCTATAAACCTGAGATGTTAAAACAATAAAAAGTCTTTATCTTTCTATAATTTGACAAGTTCATGGCAATTATTAGATCTGTTTCATTATCATAAGAAAAAGTTTCTACTCCAAAATTTAAAGAAGAAAAAAAGGTATTGGGCTTGCAGACATGCTTGGGCTGCTAGAAACTTGGGCTACTTCAGAAACGATCGAAGAGCTTAAGAGGATGTTTGTCTAAGCTTATAAGTTGGTCAAACTAGCTTATAAACTCTAAAATTAAACTGACATGTTTGTTTGTAACTTTTGAGGGCTTATAGCTGGAATTATAGGCCAAAAGAAATAAGTTGGGGGGAAGATACTTTTAAGAAGATGGTATCAGGTGTCGCTACCCCGTACGATCAGTATGATTTATACATCACACCTAGTATGAGAGGTAATCGGTCTAGTATCCGAATACCCATACGATCAGAGGTAATCGGTGTAGTATCCGAATACCCATACGATCAGAGGTAATTTTCATAAGTTCAGCCAAATAGGCTCTCAATCTGTTTCACTGAAGTGGTCAGGGCACTTCAAACTTTGAATTCATTAATTTAAATAAAAGTTCAATGATTGTGGTAGTCCTTAGTTAATTAATAAAAAATGCGAAGCTTAGTCAAACCAAAGTGGATAAATTATCCTAAGAAGTGCTCCCTCTAACTCTTTATACTTGTTGATACGAAAATTCACTCTAACCAGGGAGATCTAATTGACCTTGACGGAATCAGAACAAATGTGTGCGTGACTTAATGAAAATCAACAATGCAATGTAAAAGTGCAGTAAAATAAGAACACAAACAAATTTTTTAAGTGGTTCAGCAAGTTGAGACTTAAGCCTACACCCATTACTCTCTTATTACTTTGAGAGCTTACAAAAAAATATGTAAGAGCTAACCCCTCTCTCCCAGTTTGAAGGGATATTTATACAAGTTTTCAGTCAAGGAAAGAGAGACAAATTTGGGATTGCAATCAGACTTGGAATGCAATCCCGTGATTTTAGTGATAGAGCCCTAAGATCACGCTACTAGTGATGTTGAACTTATCTCTTCTGAAGTACCAAAGATTGAAGGTTATCCTTGATTTTTCGAACAACTATTAAGATTGGTCACTGTGATGAGCTTTAGCAAAGTGGAGCTTACTCTGGATCGCGCTAATTCTGGGTCAAGCCTATTCAGGGTCACATTGATTCTGGGTCAGCAGAGTTAGGATGGCAACCTTTGGGAATATCAAAATCCAATGTTTTTTTTTATAAAAAAAAATACGGTTACTAATAAAATCAAATATGTTTTAAGATTGTTATAAAATAATCAATTATTATATCAATAACCGCAAAAATAGGTATATTGAATATGAAAACAATATAACTATATGTCAATAAAATAAAATAACAATACAATAAATATAACAATACCATCAACGAGATCATGTGTATGAGATCCTTCAAAATGATAGGAAGAAATCCAGTAAAGAATATAACCTTAGGATTAATGTCGATGCCTGTGTAACACACAGTTTCCTTAAAATAGATTCGCCTCCTTCACTCAAGTACACAAGAATTTGAGCAGCGTCTGTTTCCCAAGATACAACAATAGATGAATAGCAAGAGAATCACCACTCTTCTATTCTAACAAACTAAATTAAACGTTAACTCCAACAAAAGAAAACCTTAAGAAAAACTAGAGAGAAAACGAGAGATTGAAAGAGCTCTCAATTTTTGTGTGTTTAGAATGAGAGGAAAAACACCTTTTTATACTACTCAAGGTGGGACAAAAAATTGAATTCCACCATTATTTTCAACATTTTCACTTTCCAACTTTAAAACCTCCTCCATTAATCTACGAACCTTTCACCTTTCAAATTCCCAACTTATATCATCAGATCTCATTTCATTCAATTTAACTAATAAATTCCAACATTGTGTACTTCTCATTGGTGTGAAAAACCGTGTCAACAATATATATACCTTAACCTTGTCCATATATAAATGAGGAGCAAGGAGTTTTCTTTGATGAAGCCAGACATGTCCACTTGAAGTTAAAATGCCCTTACCGAGAAGAGGACCACGTTCCTTTTGCTGATATGAAGGCTTCCTCAAATCTAAAGATGTGCATGTGCTTATTTATTTCACTACATCACCTTCGGCAACACATAACATGTTTATGTTTCCCAATGAAAACATAAACACTTTACCTGTTTTTGTTTAATTAATTCGTGTATTTTTAGACATATTATTAATTAGAGATATTTTTTACTGATATAGGAAAATCATATCAAAGCTTTACATGAATAAACAATTTTATGAATGATCATTAACAAAAGGGAAAATATATTTTGTAGAAATAAATAAAATGAATCATAAAAACATACCATATTGCTTCTTCCATTCCTCAAAAAGGGGAAAGATAACAGGAGCAACGTTGTGGAAGATGGATGATTGAGTATTGAAAGAATGGATTGAGATTTCTTGAGCACCCTAATATTTTCAAGAAGCAAAAGTTGGTGGTGGACCGGTGATGCCTTGTTTTCTCATCTTTGCTCCAAGTCTCTCTGGTTTCAATACCAATCCATAATATAAACGTATCACACCAACCCAAGCTAACAAATCAAAGAGTTTACGACTTTTTCCTACCCAAATAATGGTTTAATGACAATTTCCCATACACTTTATGGCGGTGAACAGAGAACAAACTCCGTCCAGGCTGTTAAGACTTTTGAAGAAGAGAAGCCGATGAGTCTTTTGATGGTGGAAGGTCGGATTTTGGTGGTTGGGATTGATCAGAATTTGAGTTGAGAAAGGCAGCTACGTAAACCCTAATCGTTCAATTGTCGACGATTGGCGAGGGTAGTGTTTAAAGGGTTTTGGTGAATGATGATCAAGAAAGAGAATGATGGTAATATGAGGTCGCAACGATATCGGAATCGGAAAAAGAATATAAAACTAGATAGTAAAATAGTATTTTAAAAGTCCAGATAAAAGTTGTTTACTCTTATGCAACTCTTCAGGACCCTATCTTGCATCTCAATAAGCCCCAAAAGTCTAAAACATTGCTCTTTGGACCAACAATATAATAGAATCCTTTTTAAAAAAAAAAAAAAAAAAAAAAAAACATCATCTTCATCCTCCCTAGCATCTTAAGAATAATAACCAAAATTGGATTCAAGTGCAGACCTCTTAAATTTTCTAGGCAAAAATATAAGTTATTACATTTAATAATTATCAATTACAACTAGTTTAAATATAAATAATATTACACGTATAAAGATTTCTTATAAAAATATGTATATAAAAGGATGTGGTTAAAAATAACTAGGAGACTGAACTAATTTTGAAGGACAAACAGAAGCAAAGGTGAAACGTCGATTGTTTTTCAAAGAGAGGATATCGCTTTGTATTGAGGATAAAGGCCTTTAAAAGTTAATCAAATTAATCAAGATGTAGGAGTAATTATAATAACAGTGCAACGTTATTTCTATTATTAGAAATCATTTTTATGATATATCTTAATATATTGAATCACTAATTGAATTATAATAGAAATATATTTAATTAAATTGATCTATATTGGGTTTTAAATTTCAACCTGGAAGGCCCAGCCCAGAATAGCAGATCATCTTGTATATGGGCTGAAAAACCCATAAGCGAAGGAAGAAAAGGAAGAAGCGAAAAAAGTAGTGGGTTTCCAACAAATTGATTCTAATTTTTTTTTTTTTTTGTTTTTTTTTTTTTTTCCAGTAAAGCCTAGTGTTTTCTTGTTCATCAGGTTGTTGATTCCATAAGCTTTGGTGCTATCCTTGTAGTAATGTCTTGCTGCTCTTTCTGGTTCAATGAATATTTATGCCGTTTTAGGAGGCAAGGATAGGAAGGAAGGGAGATCTTCAGATTCAATCAGAATGAGACCGCAGCCAATTACCTGAACAGAAATCAACGTCTTCAAACCAAAGTTGGTGGACTGTTCTGTGATCTTGTTCCACGTTTCCGCTTCTGGATACCAGTTCATTTTGTGTTCTAGATTTGTGGCTAACTTGGTACAAATTAGCCAGAGATAAGATTAAGTTTTAGAGTTTTTAGGGTAGAGCGCAGAGAAGTGGTGAGGGATGGGAAGAAAAATGGAATGGGCGGGACGAGCGAACCACATGGGAGGATTACCAAGGAAGATAGTAGTCATGGCTGTTGGAGCTTTTGCTAAGACTGTGGCCAATTTTCTCAACACCACTTATGTTCACAATGCTGATGCACTAATTCGTCTTGTTCACTCCAGGCCTCGTGGCGTACCTCTCCTCACTGTTAGTAATCACATGTCCACGTTGGTCTCTTCCTTTGTTTTTTTTTTTTTTTTTTGTTTTTTGTTTTTAACCATTTTTCCATTTGCTTATTTATTATTTTCATGAACGAATCAATCAATCAACAGGTTGGATGATCCGGTCATTTGGGGATTCAAGGGTTTTCCCTCCATGGATGCTAAGTTGGCTCGATGGGTTCTTGCTGCTGAAGATATTTGCTTCAAAAATTCACTTTTTTCCTATATCTTCCGATTAGGCATGCCCCATTTTCTAATATAAGTTTTTGAAGTTTGCTTTGAATTTGAACATGTTGAATGCTTTCTCCTTCTTTGTTACTGAACATTGTATTGTTGCAGGTAAATGCATACCCATTACAAGGGGTGGTGGAATTTATCAAGATCATATGAATGAAGCACTTGAGCGCCTAAGTGATGGAGAATGGGTATGCACTTATAATTGCACAATTTCTACTCTCTATTGTTTATTGGGCTCTATTTCTTAAGGGATTCTTCTAATTTTTATTTAAAATTTATTGGAGAAAAGGGGCTTGTTGTGATTGTTTAAATAGGATTGGGTTTGGTTTCGTCGAGAATCTAAATGAATAGCTTGACGGACTAACTCATATCTTTCCCGTTGTTTTTATTACTTTTCTTCCTTAGTGGATGCTTTGTGCAGAAGGAAGGTTACATGTGCAATGTCATTCTATCCCATCTGAATGAGATCAATAAGATCCTTAGCTTAGTGGCACAGATATTAGGGATGGGAATTATGTGATATTATAGTATATGATACTTTATTCAATAATCAATGTAAAAGTACTCTTTCTATATCCTCCGTTGTCCCAGTTATTTTTTTCTTTTCAAATGACTTTCATGCTGAGCAATAACCTCTGGTTCTTATTGAACATTGGTTGGACTGATGTAGTGTTAACTTATAGTAAAGTTTCATATTGTGGCTATTTATCTTTAAGTGAGAGATCGGCCAACCAAACTTCAATGCGAACCAGATTTACATGGAGCTGAATTTCTTATAGTGTTTTGGTGTGCATTGATATCTCAGGTTAATGTTCGTTTAATATTGAGGCTACCTCACAATAGTTTAAGGTGTTGTTTTAATGGTCTATGGGTGGATTCGTCGTAGATTTTACACTTGTGATAATCTTTCTTCTTCTTCTTCTTCTTTTTTTTTTCTTTTTTGGTTTGAGAATGACAATTTTTGTAGTTCTGAGGTTTAATTTTAATTCTGTCTCCCTTACGGACAGCTACATACATTTCCTGAAGGAAAAGTGTCACAAGAAGATGCACCTATTCGGCGGTTGAAATGGGGAACTGCTAGTCTTATTGATCGCGCACCAGTAACACCGATAGTTTTGCCAATTGTTCATCATGGTTTTCAAGAGGTAATGCTTTTTCTTAAAACTGTCCTTTTTATTCTGACATCTGTACTTATACATGCAGTGTACTTTTTGGGCTGGGCTGGTTGTTTGGTGTATATAATTGAGAAATCGCCTTTAACGTTCCATCTCAAGCAACACTTGAGGATTGACATGGTTAAAAAATAATCATTAACCTAGGAGTGAATTTTTATAATTGCTCTGAGTAATTTATCTAAATTCAGTGTACTAAAGGCACAAAGGCAAAGATTGTTCATATAGTATCAGAAGCCATAAAAAATATCACTTTTTGGTGCATATGTCATTGTTGCTTGATTTGGCTCATTTTGCACTTGGTTTATGATTTTACAGGTGATGCCTGAAAACTTTATGTTTGGCCGAAGGCCTCCATTTCCATTATGTAATAAGAGCATTAATATAGTTGTTGGGGAACCAATAAAATTTGACCTTCCCAAAATGAGGCAGATGGCAACTTCCATGTCCCGTGATCCATATCCTTGTAGCATGGGATGGCCTGGCAGTGACCCTCATGGACTGGATGAAGCAGCACGGAGATATCTGTACTCTTCCATTTCTGAAAAAATTCGGAATATAATGGAGAGCTTAAGGAGCTCTTGTAAGAGCACTTGGAAGTAAAAGGTTCAAATTCTTATTTTGTTGCTCATTTGCAAAAGCAAATTTTTTATGCATTTTCTGAGTGTTAATTGTTTTTAATCCATCATTCTTGTTAATCCATTAATGGAGAACAGGTTCCGGCATCTGATTCTTTACTAAAGTTGGTCTGAATTAAACAGAAGGCTCTTAGAAACCGTTTGGAACAAGAACATATATTTTGGTAAGAAGTGGAGAGAGGACAGCTGCTGTCTCAAAGAGCTTGAAGCACATTATTATTCCTCCGTGCAAAGAACATAATAAAATTCTTGCCAGTAGGACTTGGAGCGTTAGGAAAATTAATTTTTATTTTATTTTATTTGAAGTATGATTTTTTATTGCTTTAGTTTACAGATAGACAACGAAAATAAAAGCCGAAATTTTTGGTAGGGTTATTTATTGACTGATTTTAGTCTATACATAAGAGCTTTCATCTTGAACTAATTTGCATTGTTTTAAAACCCGACTTCTTGTGAGACTTGGCAAGGTGATTTTTTGTCTTTTCTATATGTTTAACCTATTTAATGTCTTTATAGTTTCGCTAGATAACATTTTTATCACTTCAATGGATGGGTGATTAAATAGGATTAATTTGTAAATTGAGTATGGATTATATTTGAAAAGACCCTTTAAAATTGTTTTTATATCCTTAACTAGTCTTCCATGTTTTTGAGTATCTTGGGGTGTTTTTTATAGTCATATAACTAGCTAAAACCAATTTCTAGACCAACCTTATCAAAAAGGGGTTCAGTTATAAGCATTCTTAACTTTTGATAACACCAGAGCAGCAATCTTCACCTATAGATGATGTGTGCCAACAAAATCATCCCCAAAATCTTCACCAGAGTAGACGCACTTGTTCATTCATCAAAATCATTAGTTTTTAACTTCTATAAGTTGAGTTCACAATAAATAAAATACAAAACTTATTGTTGACACAAAAAATACATCAACTAGAGTGATCCGAACGATGTGATGGAATCGAAACCGATGTATGTGTGGTTACGGATAACCAGCAATATGTAAACGGAAAATGTCATAAAGCAAATGACAAGAAAGTTTTTGAAGTGGTTCTGCGATTTATACTCTTGAGCCTACATCCACTATTTTTGTATTTGCTATGAGATCTTACAATAACAATCCTAGAATAATTTGTTAACCCCTCCCTCATTGTTGGAGGGGGTTTATATGTAAGTTATGTACAAAGGAAAGAGCGAAAATAAAGAGATTACAATTAAGATTGAAATGCAACTCTGATATTCTCGCGATTGAGCGTTGAGATTGTGCCAAGATTGCTATTGATCTGATCCCTTCCGAGATATCCAGGATCTTGAGTTATCTGTGAGCTGGTTGAACAACTGTAAGGATTGATTGTAGCTAGCTTGTGCTAGTTCAAGCTATAACTCGACGAACTTATTTTAGGTCGGACAATCAATTGAATTGAGCAGTTTCTAAATCGAGCTATAACCTCATAATTCTCCGAACTTGAAGGAAAAATCATACACAACATCTACCGCTAGTATTTGGTGCTCATTTCGAGCTTCGAAGACTATTCTTGATTTAATGTCAAGCTCGGTATTCATCAGTAGGGCACTGAATGCAAATCCAGTCCAGCTTCATGAGTTGGACTCATCCCCAGTCGACGTGCTCAACACTTGACCTTTTCTCTTTCGTGATATTCTTAACAAGCTTGGAATTTGAAAAAAAAATGGGTATTTGTGTAAATTCCATGCAGTCATGTCGCATTAAATGCGATAGCCTTTGGTAGTTACTTTTCATCACGTGTGGGCGACTACAACTATCCACGCGCAAAGTTGAGGCGATGTGTAGCGACGATTATATGATTATGGTAGTCTAACGGTTGATCACCCCTCGTATATGATTGACACATGGCCACGTCCAAGGGCCGAGATTGCTAAATGAATGGAAGGCTAGGATTCACTGTAGATCGACGGCTACAATTAAACCCCAACCTTTTGTCTCCCATGCAAACCACTATAAAAGTGGGCAAACTTGTTAGAAAGCCTTCACACTTTGCAAAAGTTCTCAAGCTTTCTTGATTATTCCGTCATTGCTCCTTCATCTTCACAATGTTTTTTCAGCAAATTCATCCCATCTTTCAGTTCGGTAAGATTTTGTTTCCCTCCTTTACTTGTTTTCATAACTTTTACGGTTGGGGGTGGCCATTGCCATGGACGCATTGAGCTTTTTAGGGCTTTGCTAGGCTTTTTAAGTTGTCTTTGGTGGTCCTGGGTTTAAGGAGGATTTATAGTGGTGGTTGCTGGAATCTTGGTAGCTCATGTGCATCTGTTATCCGACGCGAGCTACCTTGGGTGCCTAAACTAAACGTAAAGTATGGATAGGTCGCCATGTTTTTTGAGCTGTAACACATGTTCGCTTCTGTTTCAGGTACCCAAAGGTGAGCTATCGTCATGTCTTCATCAAGCAGTTATTCCAATGATTGCATGTTTGATTCCCCAGTGGGTTTGACAGCTCTTGGGGGCATAGCCCCAAGGCTTCCGAGGAGGCTGTCACATGGAGCTCGAACCCTGATGCAGCAAGCTCTTCTAACAATGCCTTTGTGGAGGTCGCTCAGCCGAAGAAGTCTCCGGCTCATAGGCTGTGCAAGGAACTATAATCCTCGATTGATGCCAAGGATCTTAGGCGCATAAATGAAATTTGTGTGCCTCAACTCAACTTGAGGGTTCTGAGAAGCTTCTCCCAAAAGAATCCCCCCATAGGCTACGTGACAGTTTCTGAGTCCCTCCTAAGGTGTGGACTATCTATCCTTGCCCACTATTTCATTGACAACATTTTGAAACGGTTCGACATCGTCCCTCTCCAGTTGTCCGTGAATTCATACATTATAATCGTAGGCCTATACATAGCATACCAAGTAGCCGAGTTGGACGAGCCATCTGTTGAAGAGCTCGTCCATTTGTATAGTTTAAAGAAGGGTCAAGACTAGACGTACTACCTCTGCAAGGCGAGGAAGGTACATTTTAACGATTTGGTCGAATTTCCAAAAAAGGTCCCACATTGGGATTCTCAGTTTTTCTTTTGTGAGGTCGGGGAGACCGGTGTTTTTGCTTCGGAAGCTAGTAAGAATTCAACCCATGCATGTGGAAGAGTATTTTCAAGCTGGATTGTCTGGCTAATTGAATTTCTTTGTTTTGTAGTAAACATTGAGCAAAATTTTCTCCCCGTAGCAAGCTTACAACAACTTCAGCAATCTCTCTAAGATGGAGCGCAACGTTAATGAGATTATCTCGCTTCCTCGGCTAAGGGCATATGGCTTTTGTGCACACAAAGCCAATTTCAACACCATCCTTGAAAAAGGTAAAGTGTTTACTTGCTCACTTTCTTTTTTTTTTGTAGGTCACTGATTATTTGCTTCTCCTTTCGTAAAAATGTGGGCCAAGAAACTGAAGGGCCTGAAGAAGAACAAAAAGAAGAAGAAGGCAGCTTCCAAGGCTATTAAGAAGTTATTGATTGCTCCGGCAAAGAAGCAGCCTACCGATGCTGCTGGAAAGATCGGGCAGGGTGCCTTGTATCCAGCCCTTAAGCAAAGTAGTGGTGAGCTTAGGGAAGGCCCAAGTGCTAGGAAGCCTATAACTGCCTCCAAGGTAGTCGGAGGGAAAGGTGCCTTGAGCCCCAAAAGGGGTCGACGAAGAAGACTTCCAAGCAAATTAGAGGCTCGGGTAAGTAGAAGGCAGCTGAGCAGCATGATAGGTTAGGCAAGAAAAATTCGACTGATTCGTAGGGGAGCTTGGGAAAACAGAAGGTCATCGAGCAGCAAGGTAGCTTAGGCAAGGAGGCTGTAGGGCAAACTGGCAGCCCAAAAAAGTCCGTGGCCAAGGACTCGGCCAAGAAGAAGTATGTTCCCATGGGCAAAGCTATCATTCTCGTGGGAAGTAAATCAAGCTCGCCTCAGTAGGGAGGAAAAATTACGGATGAGGCAGCTCAAGCTGCACTTGACACACTAATCGACCAACTCCCTGAGTGCATCAACGTCGAGGCCTCAGCGGTCAGGGATGTCATCACCCCGTGAACCTACATGGGCATTAGGGATTTGTCTCCTCCACAGTTACTGGCTTGGGTATGCAACTACGTAACAAAGGTATCAGTAATTCGCCCCCCCCCCCCCCTTCTTATTTATATACGCTTTTTTTTATTCCTTGCTGACTTCCATTTTTTTTCTTTTTTAGCCTTGCGTGGTGAGCAGGCTTCTTTATGATAAGTGTTACCCAACATTGATGGGCACTCACCAAGGGTGGCAGGAAGTGAAGACACTCAAAGAAGATGCTTAGGCTAGGGCTGAGGTGGCAAAGAAAGAGAATGACTCGAAGCAAGCCGAGCTTAAGTGGCTTAAGAAGGAAATGACAACCTTTGGGGTTAAGGAAAGAGAATTCCTTGACAAAATTTAGGCGAGTGAGGCCACTCGGGCAAAGGTTGAAGCCAAAGTGGTCGAGGCCGAGAAGAGTTTGGCACAACAGTGAGATGCCAATAATAAGGTGAACTCCAAACTCTCATCGACTTAAAAAACTACCTCGGATTGGGAGGCAAAGTTTAAATAGGTCTCACTCGATCTTGCATAAGAGGTGGAAGGTCAACAAAAGGTCGAGGTTGAAACAGAGTAGCTTAGGCTCGAAATCGGGGAGCTGAACGCGGCCACCATGAACTAAGCTTGGGAGATGATGTTGGTCTCCCTTGTGCAAAAGTTGTGGGAAGTTCATTCCTTGATCGACTTCTCCTTTCTTCTGTAGGCTTATTAGAAGGAGGTCAACAGGAAGATGACTGAAGCTCAAGGGATGGCATATGTTTACTCTAACGAGTCTGAGCTCAACGGTAAAGGCAAAAAGGAAGTCGGGGAAGGAGAGGAGGATGTTGGCGTTAAGCAAGAGGTTGAGGATCCAACTCCCCTGGCTATGCTTTCGCCTATTGTTGTCGCCCTTCCTCCAATCGAAACTTCGAAGTACGTCTCGGCTCCTAATCCTGAAAAGGCTGCCAAGACTCCTACCATCGACGATCCTTCTACCCAAATTGGCAACGATCTCTCCGATCTTGTTGGCGACAATGCCCCCGCTCTAACTGCTTAGAAATTTTTCTCTTTTTTGTATCTTTTTTTTTTCGTTTAGTTTAGTTTAGATTGTAACTCAACTTTGCAATAAATGAAAAACATTTTTTGCATATTTCTGTCGAGCAATTTTTAATTTATGTAGAGTCATTTCGAATTTGTTCCAAGTTATGCATAGCTCACTTCTTGAGGAACTTTTCAAATGCATATCAGAAAATCTTGTGCAACAACTCTAAGTTTGGATTGATTGCACGTCACGAGTTTTAGCCCCTGGCTTATGACCGATTTTCCTTCGACGTGTTTTACTTAA